GGATGAATAAGATGCCCTAGGAGTGAAAATTTGGAATATGAGCCTGATCTATTGATAAATGTTCTACATCTATCGATAGATACAAGAAAGAAGGCTTAGGTAGGCAATTTGGGCAAACCTCTATCGATAAATCCCCTTAACTATCGATAAATATCCACTTGAAAACTTTATAAAGCATAATGGCTTGAAAACTCTCAAAAAATTTGAGGAATTTATCAATAAATGGCCACACAGGATGAAAAGCAATCAAGTTGAGAATCATCTATCAATAGACTCGCAAAATATATCGATAAATAGCTTAATGAGAAAAATGTGAAAGGGCTTGTGCACAAACTATCTATAGATTCAAGGAATCTATCGATAGATGAAAGTCAACACCCAAAAAAATAATAAAATGATCTATTGATAGATGCTTGATAACTCTATTACATAGAGTTATCTTGCCATATTTTAGACGCTAAAATGGCTATGTTCTCGAGTTTTAGGTGTAGTTTAAGTTGTTTTAGTTATTTTTTTAATTAAATAAAGCATGTCTAGTCAATTAAATTTTTTTCATTTTAGTTCATTTATGTGTTAAAGTGTTTAATTTTAGTTGCTATTAATTGAGCTCTTTGTTTTGAAGGTCTATGAATGAAAAAAAGTTGAAGCCGCAATAAATTGTATAAGGGTGGATTGGTGTAAATGTATGTTGAACATGTTATGGTTTTCTAAGCATAACTCAAGTTACCAATGCTTGATCATCATGATTTTGGGATCACTGGAAAGCTATGTGAAAGGCGTACAACTTTTGTGTTGATCACTTTGATTAGTTTTGGTTAGATCATGGCCAAAATCAAATAGGAATTGAATGAATTGGAGCAAGGGATAACATTGAAGCTGGAAAGAGCAAAGCATGGAATAGCAACCATGACACCCCAACGCCATGCTCCCAACACCGTAGCACCATCTTGGTTAGCCAGAAATGCCAAAATATAAGCTAAGGTGTCATGATGCCATCTTAGCATGAAAAAAAGAGCTGAACAAGAGCTTTGGTGCCACAACGCACACACGCAAGCTAGAAGAATTTTACACCTTTTGATTTTTTAAATCAAAGGGCTCTATGGAGAGGTTTAAATAAGCCTCTTTAGAACTAGAAAAGGAACGAAGACAATAGCTTTTAGTAGAGGAAAAGATAGGCTTCTTACAAAAAAAAAAAGGAAAAAAGAGGAATCAAGGATTTTAGGTGCTTTAATCATTTGCATCAACTCATTTTTCTCTTACTAGTTCTATTTTTCTCTTTCTACCTTTTATTGTAGAAATGAATTATTTTCTGAAAATATTGGATTTTGTTATAAATATGTTGAGCTAAATATTTTATTCTAGGATTGTGGTTGATCTCTACTTGTAGTTTGGATATTTTAACTTTCTTTTACTTAATATTAATGAATATTGAGTTGTTTATTTCAGATCTAAACTTATTACCTCTAATTTCTTGATCAATAATTAAATTGATTTAGGTCTCTAAATGCAACTTGACAAAAAGAGTTTAGAATAGACCAAAGGTTTGAATAACATGTCTTCACTTCAATTAAAGCTTAGGTGACGTGATTCGTATTTAAGATAAAAGTATACCTAAATACCATGTGCAACTAAATTTAAAATATAAGCATCAGTGAAACTACCTTAATTAATTTACATAGATATATGGAAAATTAAATATGATGGTTAAGTTTACGATATGTTGACAGAGACTTGTGGATAAATTTAGACTCTAGGCTAGCAACCAATCCATTGATGTAAGAATAAAGAGGGAAATTAAATTTGAGAAGAGTAATTCCATAATCCTAGGCTTGACTTCACTGATCCTCTAACAATATTTAGCATTAATTCATTAGCTTAGCCTTGTTACTTTAATTTTAGTTTTAATTAATTTTTAAATTAGATTTATTTGAATAAGATTAAGGTGCCAAATTTTAGTAATTAACAAGAATTTAGATACAATTCCTTGTGGAGACAATAACTTACTTACCGCTATATTATTTGTGTGACACGTGTGCTTGTGTGTGAGTAAAACCATCAACAAGTTTTTTGGGGCCATTGTCGGGAAGTTGTTTTTCTATTCTTTTGCTATTATTAATATCAAGCAAACTAGTCTTAATTCAAACTTTGATTTCTTTATTTTCAAGTACTTTTTGGCCAACACATAAGAAGAGTAAAAAGCTTGGAAATTGTCCTTTGTGATCTAGAAATTGAGAAGACCTTCTAGAGATTACTTAGACAAAACTCTCAAGACTCCAATCAATTTGATACAATGGTTGAGAATCAATGTGAACAGCCAATTCAAAGACATGTAGTTGATAACTAATCATTGAAGGATTATGCTGTTCCATTAGTCCAAGGACTTTATTCAAGAATTCAGAGGTTGGCAATTCAAACCAACAATTTTAAGATTAAGCTAGCCATCATTCAAATGATCGGAAAGTCAGTTTAATTCGAAAGCCTCCCGAATGATGATTTGAATGCTCACATTTCCAACTTTTTGGAGATTTATGGTACCTTTAAGCACAACGGGGTCATTGAAGACACCATTCGGTTGACGCTTTTCCCTTTCTCACTACTGGATAAGGCTAAAATTTGGTTGAATTTTCTTCCCACCTGCTCCATCACTGCTTAGGACGACCTTGCACAAATGTTTCTAGCTAAATTCTTCCTCTTGCTAAGATTGCTAAAATGAGGAACGATACTTCTTTCATGTAGTTGGATTTTAAACATTTTTTGTAAGTGGCTTCAAATGGCTAAGGAGCAATACTTGCTTTGGAGATGCCCATATCATGGCCTGCCCAAGTAGCTGCAAGTGCAAATATTTTATAACAGGTTGTTGAATCCAATTCAGACTACCATTGACGCCGTAGTTTGTGGCATTCTCATGGCTAAGTTAATTGATGATGCTATAATTTATTAGAAGAGTTGGCTTCCAACAACTATTAGTGGCATTTTGAGAGGGCCTTGCCAAGAAAGGTCGCTAATGTGCATGAGTTGGATGCTATTAATGCATTAATTGCTTAGGTAGTCGCATTCACAAAGAAAATTAATTCCTTTGGAGTTCATTTGATACAGAGCCCCATTATTACTTATGACTATTGTGGTGAGGGAAATTCGAGAGATTTGTGTTATATGAGTACCGAGTTAGTGCAATTTGTGAGAAATCAGCAACAAAACAACCCATACTCCAACACATATAATCTTGGGTGGAGGAATCGACCCAATTTTCTTGGAACAACAATCATGGCCCTTCATCAACTCCAAGATAGGATTTTCCTTTAGATTTTCCACAATGACTTAGACCTTCAGTGCAAGAAAAGAAGCCATCCATGAAGGAACTGTTCATGCAATATATGGCTAAGACAAATGCCTTTATTCATAGTCAAGTAGCTTTATTGAAAAAATCTTAAGACTCAAGTGGGGCAATTAGCCAATACTATCAACAATAGGCCTTACTAAGTAATATTGAACCTAATCCAAGTAAGGAAGGCAAGGAACCTTGTATGGCAATATTCTTTTAGAGTGGGAAAGAGGTTGGCAGTAATAGTAAGCAAGAAGAGCCACAAGAGAAGCCAATTGAGAATGAATCAGAAGTTGGAAAGTTAGACAAGCAAGTGCAAGTCAAGGATTCATCGGTACCACACTTTCCTCCATTTCCTCAGCATTTCTAGAAGCAAAATTGGATACTTAAATTTAGAAATTTCTGGAAGTATTCCAAAAGCTCCACATCAACATCCCTTTCGTTGAAGTGTTTAAGTAGATGCCTTCATATGTTAAGTTTTTGAAAGATATCTTAACAAAGAATAGGAAATTGGGTGAGTATGAGACAGTGGTACTCACTGATGAGTGCAAAGCTATTATTTAGAACAAGTTGCTACCAAAGCTTAAAAATCTAAGGAGTTTTTCAATACCCAGTGCCATTGGTGATTCTAAATTTTTCAAAGCTTTATGCGATTGAGGTGCTAGTGTGTCACTGATGTCTTTTTCTGTTGCTAAAAAACTTGGACATAAAGACACTCAACCTATTACAATAACGATTTGGCACCTTGCCAAGATCACAAAAGATGTGTTGGTCATAGATTTTGATCCATACAAGAATACCATTTTAAGTGATTATAGAAATCAAATCAATTTGAGGGATGATTACCTAGACTAAATCAAAGATTGAGACTAATCTTATCGAATTTCAAAAGAAAATTAGACAAGAAAACCCTAGAAATAGAAGACCTGCTTTGATGCCATATAAGAGTTGCAAACCGAAATATGGAGTGAAGAACAAAGAAGAGAATTGTAATTTCTGTAATTCTCATTACTAGAAATGAATTCTGTTACATTGCACTATCTATAGCTAATACTAACAAGACTAACTTCCTGTGACAATAAGCCATCAGACTAACAAACTTAAGAATCTAAATTGCACAAATAACTTTAACAGACAACCTGCAATTACAAAACTGCCCTGCTGTTGTCAGTTACTAAAAGCTGTCATCATGTGCACTGTACATGGTTGATTCCTAATGAAGGAAAATTCAAATTACTAGTTGTACATTATGGTGGGATTGCTACAAATTTAGAGTTGTCTATGCCAAAAAGGAATATTTATGAGTGCAAGAATGGAAATTTACATTAACGCTTGATCACGTCAAACATTGTAAAACCAACTTTGAAATTTGAAGTTGATATTAAGTTTCAACCGAGGAGGGGCACACCCATCATTTGTATCTCGTGGGTCAATTAATGCTTCAGCTTCATCCCATTAATAGAAGAGAGTTTTCCAGGTGATGAAATTTGCGGAGCTAAACAAAAAGCTCGTGTTGCCTGAAAAATAATCAAATTTTTTTCACCTTTTATTAACAATTTTGACCCTTTTTTTCTTTGGTTTCCTTATTTCATACAAGGAGGAAAAACAAAATTCTTCCTCTCTTTCATTTTCTCGCACCCGACATGAAAATAATAACAGGCTTGTTTGATTCTGGATCTGGACTCTCTGTCTTGTTTGATTAAAACTTAAAAGATGTTGGATTCAAATAAGAGCAAAGAAAAAGTGGTTGTAAGTATGCAACCAATACAATAAAGTTGGCAATTGAAAACTACAACTCGAATGGGTAACCGTAATCATCCTTGCTATGTTGATGCAGCTACAGGGTGAAGACCTTTACCAGCACCTATCTTGCCAGCTCGTCCAATACCTACGTGTTGGAGATCAGCGTCTTTTCTTCTTCCACTCAATCCCTTTCTAGTACTATTTTTTATGTCACTGCCTGATTCTGGTTCAGCCACGGCTTGTCTCTGGAGTTCCAGGGAACTACTGTGATCCTCTTCTCTGCTTTTAGTTCTTGAAGTCCAGCGATCAGTTGAATCCGCTGAATTGGGTTCCCACGAGGAGGATGAAAAGCCCCAATGCTGCTGCTGCCCGCTGCCCACGAAGCTGTTGCTACCAGATGATTCTTGCTCCTCCATGTCTGTACCGCCCAATGTACCACCTCTCCTCACTGTCACATACTTGTGAAAACTTGGCTCCATCAGATCATCTCCGCCAACTACCTCGGATTCAACAAAAGGGTCTCTGGTTTCTGCCATTTTCCTCCCAACAGTGGCATTGTAGCCATTCTTGCTTGACTCATCGGTTGAGAGACCTTTTCTATCCTCAGAGAATGCACAAGAGAGGTTGGAGCTTGTAGTGGAGTTGAGGTCCGCAACTGCTTCAAGGATGGAACAGGCCTTACTGACGCATGATGGGAGTGAGAATGAAGGGGGATTGTTGGTTTGATGAAAATTTTGGATGTCCTCAAGCAATAGTGTGGTATATGATGATGGGATGGGATTCAACAAAGTTTCTGGATTCAGGTCCAGATCTCGTGATCGCCTAGAGGATCTGCTTCTTGTTAATGTTTGAGGTTTCGGATTTTCAGCTCCGGCCATTGGTGGCTCGGTCTTTACCTCTTCAACCATCCTTTGCTCCTTTGCTGTGCTATTCACATTTGCGACCTTGTTATCCGCTGTACCAATGCTGCCTGCTTTATTAGCTCCTTGAACAATGACTTTGTGGCTCATCTCAGCATTCAATTTCTGTAAAATCAAGTCTTGATGTAAGTATTAGAATCGAGAATGAATATTGAAGTTGAATCACCAGCTCTTAATCACATTAAGATACTTATACCTTAGCTGACAGCAACCATAAAATGAAAATAAAATATTCTTTAAAAAAAGGTTTTGCCTACTAATCTGCTGAGCAGTAGATTTAACAAAAAGCTTCTAGTACAGAATCAATAAAGATTTAAGAAAGCAAGTACCTGATTAATTACATTGGTGTATTCCTTGAGCCCTCCTTGTCCCTTGTTGATGCAGGTGGAAGTCTTGTTGGCAGCTGATTGTGGATATGCAAGCGAGTTGGGATCAATCTCACTCAATGGGTTTCTTCTATAAGGCGAATGCTCTGCTTTCCTTGAGGAGCTGCGGCTAAGTGTTGGCTGTAGCTGATTCTCATTGCAGCCTTTAGCATTATTAGCATTTGGATTTGGCCTTGCAGGGGACTGAGAGCGTGGTGAAGCAGCTCCCCTAGAGCCTACAGCCGCCTCACCGACATTCCTCTTCACAGAGATGCGCTTGATGGCATTTGCAGTAGTTGTCGCAGCTTCTACACCAGCAGCACCAATGGTGCTCTTATCCATCACCAATGACGAAACAGTAGCAGGAACAGAGACCATCTTTCCAGGTCTATTAGTGGCATTGGCAGCATTGCTACCAAGGCTACCTTGAGTGTTTTCTGATCTTCTTCCCGGCGATCGGCTCACTCGTCTTCCTCCGCTGCTCGTCCCTCTTTCTCTGCTTCCGGAGCGTTGCTGGTGCTGCTCTCTTTCCCTGCTGGGAGTTCTCCTCCTTCCCTGAGAAGAAGAAGACCTACTTGATTGCCGGTGGCGTGGGCGGTCATCATCACAGAAACCATCATTTCCTTTCTTCCTGGAACCATAGTCAGCGGAGGCAACTCCAATATGATCATTGTCGTTTTCGTTATCAAAATCGTAACTCCGCTTGGAACCAGAGTACTTTCTGGAAGAAGAAGCCGTCTTTCCAGAAGAGTTGCTTCTGCTAAGCCTCCCGCACTGTATCAAAATGGCATCTACTTCCTCCTTAGTGCAGCTGGACGTCCTCACCGCAGTATTGATGTTGCAGATACCGCCTTCGTCCGAAACGGAGGAAGCAGACTCGTTTTCGGTAGAATGTGGTGCTGCCTTTTGCGGAGGCGGGGAGCGCCTGTCTCTGTCATGGCTCTTTCTGTGTTTTATGACAAATACCTCCTTCTTCACTAAGCTGTCTTCTTCTTGGCTGGCTTTTCCAACTTGTTCTCCTTCAGCAACCTGGTAAATCTTGAGATCGCTTCCCGCATTGAGGGAATGATGAGAAGAATTATTGTTCAGGGCGGTGTCCGCCGCTAACGGTGCTGAAGAAACAGGAACAGGAAGATGCGAGGCAGGCTGGGGCTGAGAGTGATTAGAGGAAGAAGCTCTCTTCTTGCTAAAACAAGTACCCATTTGGGATTTGGCAGTCAGGTGAGCTCGAAGAGGGAGAGAAATGGTAGAAAAGGGTCAGCAACAGAGAAGCAATGGGATTAGATAGGGAGTGGTGGGGTACGTTGTCCAAGAAAACATTTTCAAAATGACAAACTTTTGGTTTGACAAACAAACAAAGAAAGCATTTCAAATTTTGAAGTGAAGGCATCCGTTAGACACACACAGCCGTTGGATGAGCCGCTGACGCACTGACACACTCCAACTCATTTTCCCTCCTTTCTTTTTCCTCTTTAATTTTTTCCTTATTTCTTAGTATAAAACTCAAGACGACATGTTTCAATTCAAATTCCCCCAACGGCTACCAATTCTCTCTTAAAGGGGTTTTATCATTATTATATTTTTGGTTCGAGGGACCACTGGGTTTATGTTCGCGGATTCTCTTAACTAATTAATTAAATTGAAATTCACATTTTTTTACTAGTTTACAATTGAATTAGTTAATTAGTTATTTTTCAATAACTAATTAATTAGTTAATTAAGTTAATTTAAAGTAATAATTAATTAAATGAAATTTGCATTTTTATTATTTTATAATTCAATTAATTAATTAAATTAATTTATATTATTTTATAATTAAATTTGTTGATTAGATATTTTAATTAACAAATTAAGTAGTTAATTAACTAATTAAATGTGATTTTTTTAAATTTATAATTAAATTAGTTAAATAATTAATTAAATTAAAATTCCATTTTCTATTATTTTATAATTAAATTCATCAATGAAATTAATTAATTTAAATTAGTTAATAATTAAATTAGTTAATTAGTTATTTTCATTCACAACTTAATTAGTTAATTAATTAAATGAGATTTGTATTTTTTTTCTTTGTTCATAATTAAATTAAGTAATTTAAGTACTTTAAATGAGAGAGAAAGATATTGGATTTTTTTTTTAAAAGAGATAGTTTAGTTCAAAAAAATAATTAATTAGTTTCCCACTGCTCAAGAAAGTAACATCACATTGGTTTTTAAAAGGAATGTGAATCTCTGACGATGGGAATGTGATTGATCTTTTGGTAATAGGAAAATAATTTGTTGGCTAAAATTTGTGTAAAATATTTTACACAAAAATTAAATATTTTTTATTATTTAGATAAACTGTTAAAACATTTTTATTAAATTATGTTGTAGAAAACATTTTTCACTATCACTCAAATTTTAAAAGATTGTATTTTATGCACTAATGCCATCAAAATGAGATAAAATTAAATTCTTCTAGAAACTTAATAATAAATATATAAAACTTTTTAGTATTTAATAAATAAAAAATCAAAATCTTTTATTTTCTTGTCAAGTTTTTCTCTCCCTTTTTTTCTTCCTTAAGTTGTTCTCTTTTCTCTTTGTAGGCAGTCAGTCCTCAAATAAATCTAACTTTATTGTAAGATCAACTAATATAATTTTTTTAAAAAAATAAAATTCTATTTAATAGGTTAACAGATAAACAACATAGTTAATCTTATATTTATCTATTTTATGTTAACAACATAGGTAATTTGTAAACTTATCTATCTAATTTTAAATGTTATTTAATTTTTATTTTTATTCTTTTTTTTACTTTAAAATATAAGAATATTATTTTTTAATACTAACAATATACATAACTAATTTAACTTATTTAAACTTATTATAATGATTGGCTACGTTAACTCTCACACATTGATATTGATATTTTAATAATATTTGTTCTACTTTTATGACTTTTTACATTAATTCTTTTTAAATTTATGTCTAGGTTTATCAATTGTTAATATACACTATAACTATTTTTATCCTTATTATTGTTCATTTATAAATTAAAATTTATAAATCATTAAATACTTTTAGCTCAATAATATAAATTTAAATATTTAATTTTTACAAAAATTATATTTATTTTAATTTAATTAATTTATTATGTTAAATCTCATACATATACGTCAATCTTTTAACAATTCTTGTTTCACATTTATGATTTTTAAGGTAATTTTTACAAGTTTACTTAGAGATTTTTCAATTGCTAATTTTCACTATAATTATTTTTATCTTTCTTATTATTCATTTATAAATTAAAATTTATAAATTGTTAAATTCTTTTAGCTCGAGAATATAAATTTAAATGTTTAATTTTCACTAAAATTATATTTATTTTGACCTAATTGACCTATTGCATTAAATCTTACACATTTTCACCAATATTTTAACAATACTTATTCCACCTTTATAATTTTTTACGCTAATTCTTACAAATTTCGTCAAACTTTTTCTATTGGTAATTTTCACTATAATTATTTTTATCCTTATTTTTATTCATTTATATATTAAAATTTGTAAATTATTAAATACTTTTAGCTTGATAACATAAATTTTAATATTTAATTTTTTACAAAATATATATTTATTTTAACTTAATTGACTTGTGACATTAAATCTCACACATTGACGTCAATATTTTAAAAATGTTTGTTACATTTTTATAATTTTTTATGTTAATTCTTATAGGTTTACATCAAAGTTTTTCAATTGCTAATTTTTATTATAATTATTTTTATTCTTATTATTATTTATTTATAAATTAAAATTTGTAAACCATTAAGTATTTTTAGCTTAAACACTGTTTGTAGCCCACTTTCGAGTCGATTTGGTGTAAGGATAGAATCAAAGGTCTAGCTATGGATTCAAAGGGTAATATTGGTGGGATAGTGACTATGTGAGGGGATGATTTTTTCATATTGGAGGATTATGTAAGGGACAAGATTTGTAACTGAGGACCAAAGCCATTTAGATTATTTAATTTATAGCCTGAAGACAAGTCTTTCAAGTGCTAGTTAAATCCAATTAGGAGAAAGTGAAGTTTGTTAGTTCAATAAGCCTTCGATTATGGTAGTGTTTGAAAAATCTAAGGTCGATGATAACTAAATGGAACATGAGATAGTATGGTGATATATTTAGAAGAATTGAATCTCTTCAAACTAAGATTCAGAATATGGAAATTCAATGGGTGGAGATAAGAGATGATGACTTAATTAGGGAAAATGTTATGAGAAAACGTGCAGCGCTTTGGTCATTATACAAAACAAAAGAAAGGCAGTGGAAACAACAATCTCAAACTAAATGGGCAGTTGAGAGGGATACGATCAGTAAATATTTTCATGCAATGGAATCTAACAGGAGGAAGACTAATTGCATAGTCAGTTTGTTAGTGAATGATGAGTTAGTTGATGATCCAGATTCAATCAAGAAAGAAATTGAGAGGCATTTCAAAAGGTTGTGTGATAACTCTATTATATAGAGTTATTTTGACTCATTTTGGGAGCTTAAGTAGGCTAGCATCTTTGAGATTTTATGTTCGAATTTTAGCATTATAGGTTTTTTTTTAGTTAAGTTTGATTATTTTTAAGTGATTAATTTAAGTTATTTTAGTTAAATTTTAGATTATTTTATTTTAAATTACTTTAAGAGTAGTTATTGCTAATTTCTCCTATGGTTTGTAGGAAATTGATGAAAAAGACTCATTGGATGAAAATCAGTGCAAGTATGGTGATAGCTTCATTCGTATATGTTTCAATATTTTGACCATATCTCTTTCTAAAAAACTCCAAATGAGGTGATTCTTTGACCAATCAAATTATAAGAAGAAGGGAAACAATTTTTATGTTCACCAATTGGCCCAGTTATGATTGGATCATGGTCAAAACATTTGTCAATTCGGACCACTGCAGCAGGATGTAAAGACTAACATGATGCAGTATTTGGAGCAAATCTTTCAATCCAGAAGTCCAATTGATTGTTTTTAATCCATTGGAAAGTTAAGAGATAGGGATAAAACTTTTATGTTTACTACTTTGCCCAGTTCTTAACATATCAGGTGAAACTCATGTTTGAAGTTGATAGACTGCCACAGTGCTGGGAGAACAAGGCTGCAGCGTTGATGAAAGGAAGCACACATACAAAATTCCAGAGAGCTCGGCGCTGCAGCGCTAGAGAAGTAGCGCCGCAGCGCTAGAGACTTCCCTAAAAAAATAAAGGACATTAACGAAATTTCGCAAAATTAGGTTATTTGGAGCCTATTTAAGGAGACTTTTTCAGAGATTTTGGAGGCAGCAAGAGAGGCAGCAAGAGAGGCAGCAAAAGGAGCAGCAAGAAACTATTCTGGAGATTTGGAGCCAAGAACAAAGCAAGGAAACAAGAGAATTGGAGAGAGAATCAAGATCATACATCTCTAACTATTAGTTTTCTCTCTTACCTTTGTGTTTTTTTTTATTTTCTTTGACTGTATTCATGGCTAAATTTCTTTGGATATTGTCTTTATTAGATATTATGAACTAATTATTTTTTCTAGGATGCAATTGAACTCACATGTAATCTAGATTTTAATCACTTTCTTGCTTATTTTCAATGGGATTGAATTGTTTATTCCAATTTGTTCTTAATGCTTTTAATTGCATGGCCACCAATTAAATTGATCTAGAAACCTAAACAAACTTGGGAAAGGGAGTTTAGTGTAGACTAAAATTGGGATAGCATATGATCATATTAAGTGATTTGCATATAGGATAGGGATATACCTATAGGCCATATGTAGCCAAATTAGAGCCTAAACTTAATGAGTTTGTTTTAATTTCAATTCACATAGGGATATAGTGTTTTGGTTAAAATAGATATTTTTAAGATGAGTTGGGAGACCTTATAAATAATTTAGGACTCTAGGTTAGCAATTCAAACATTGAGATAAGTTAGGAAGAGAGGTAAGATTTAGATGAAGTGTGAGGGATATTGTAATCCTAGGCTTGTTTGATTTGATATTATTTGAGTATTTATTATTTTGATTTTTCTTAATTTAATTCTGCTATACTTAGTTTGATTTGATATTATTTTGATATTGTTTGGATAAGATTAATTTGCATATAATTTTAGTACTTAGTAAACTTTTAGATCAATTCCCGCGGGATCGATACTCTACTTGCTAATATACTATCTATTCGATACGTATACTTGCGTAGTAGAATTTTAACTGACAAGTTTTTGGCGCCGTTGCCGGGGAATTGTTTCTAGAATTTATACTAATACTA